TGACCCACCTCACATGGGTCGAGTTTGCCCACAATACTCTTCCTACGGCAGCCACAGGTCTCTCTCCATTCCATTGTGTCAATGGTTTCCAGCCTCCGCTTTTCCCAAACAACGAGGAAGAAGTAACGGTACCATCGGCTCATGCCATGATCAGACGTTGTCGCCGAGTTTGGGCTGGTGCTCGCCAGTCTCTTCTCCGAAGTTCAGCTCGGATGAAGGCTGTTGCAGACGTCCATCGCAGGGTCGCTCCGAGATTTGTGGGTCCTTTTCCGGTGTCCAGTGTCATCAACCCAGTGTCTGTACGCTTACAACTTCCCAGGACTATGAGAGTGCATCCAACGTTTCATGTCAGTAAGATAAAGCCAGTGTGTGAGAGCACACTTGTTCCCGCCTCCAAGCCCCCTCCACCGCCCCAGTTCTTTGAGGGTGGTGAGGTTTACAAGGTTCGTAAGCTGCTGGAGGTCCGTAATAGGGGGAGGGGGAAGCAATTCCTGGTAGACTGGAAGGGTTACGGTCCTGAGGCTAGATGCTGGGTAGCTGCTTCATTTATTGTTGACAAAACTTTGATCCAGGATTTCTATAATCAGCCTGGGCCATCAGGAGTCGGCCCTAGAGGGGGGGGGGGTACTGTTGTGCACCGACAGAAATGTTGAGATAGTCACATTTTATGTTGTTTTATGGTTGTATTGTCTTCCACTTCCTGTTTTGTTTTTGTCACTCACCGTTTACCTGTCATTCCAGGCTCCCTGATTGTCTACCTTTTATGTGTCCCGCGCTCATCAGCACCAGCCCCGCCCCTGATTGTTTCCACCTGTGTCTTGTTGTCGTGTGTTTAAATTCCCCAGTTTTCCAATGTTCCTTGTCAGTTTGTCTTGTCTCATGCCTAGGTCAGATCTATGCTCTCCTTGATACCAAGATGTTTTTGTTCCTCACTACGTGAGCGATTTTCTTTTGTTCACCTTTTGTCATCTCATCTAGAGATTAGATAGTGTTTATTTCTGTTAATCTATTTGAAAATAAAGTATCTTACAAATACTTTACCTCTGTCTCCTGGGTCGTGCAATTGGGTCCTATACCCTGAGTATCTGAGTTCGTAACACTGGAAGAACTGCCACCGAAACTGAATACGTGACGTGGATCATACATATATCAGCAATTAAACAAAATCTTCAATTTCTCTTCACACAATGCGTCTCCTTGCAGTATCAATACTAATTCGGCTGACTTTTATATTTGATCCAATTGGTAGATAAGTAGCAGTGCACAGCTGATAGACAGGGACTTGTAGTTTTTAAAGATATTATTGATTTTCTTTGAATTAAAGAATGTAAATACTGAGTTGAGAGAATAGTCAGGGGTTTTGGGTGATGGGAGACACATCTACGGATTCAGAATTTCAATAGCTTACCCAGGGTGTCCGCAGGGTCTTAAAAAGTATTAAAAGTTGATAAATCAATTTAGCGAAAATTAACGCTATTAAAAAGTATGAAAAAGTAACGGCATTTTCCAAGGTATTAAGAAGGTCCACAGCAACGACAACATGAAACACCCTTTAATTTACTGCAACGACATGTCGGGAAACCCCCTCAAGGCGGCCCCATGCATAGTGCGCCGTAAAATGCTGCTTCTTATTTTAAAGGAGAGGTATCATGGCCATTTCCACTGATCATAATTCCATTGTTGAGGTCTACTAAAATAGATTTATACTGTGCATTTTTCCAAACTCACATTAGTTCTATTTCGTCCCTACTGACCGCCAGAGGCGGTGCTTTTAGCACTGGATATGTCCATCGTGCGCATGCGCAGTACGAGTACCAATATCAACAAAGTCACCTGTGACTCACGTGACACCGGCTATATCAGCCAGTGTCATCAGAGGATCTGTTCCTTTCATCTTCTCGCTGCGCGAGAGTACCGTGGCTGCATTCTTGCAGCCTACAGCGTTCAGGTTTGAACGTTTGATCTGAGGGATTTCTCTGCATACAGCTGGCCGCGGGGAGCTTCGCGACTGATAGTCGGAGCTACGGGTTGTTAACGCGTCCTCCAGGAGCTGTGGCCGGCGGTGCGCCGTGCAGAGCCTCGACGGACAGGTTCGTGTCAACTTGTGGTGATGGCTGTGTTCCCGCACCCTCTCCCAGCTAAGTTGTCCTGATTGCTGTCTTGTTATTGTCGGGCTACTTTCTGGTGACGACAGTGTTCTCGCCTCCTCTCCCATAAAGTTGCCCTTATGATGCTCTTTCGAAAGTTCTGCTTGTGGCGTTGTGCCCGAGCTGTCTTTAGCATTTGAGTTCCCAGCTTTCGCTACGTCTCTCATTTAATTTGTATGGAAAGCCCACAGTGCCATAAATTGCCTGTTTTTTGTTAGGTGCAGAGAGTAAGGTAAGTTCTGGCCAGAGTTACTACTGTAACTACGGTCCTAGGCCATGCAACTACGGCATGGTTACTGCTGTAACCATGGCCTATGGTTCTTGCGGGCTGTTCTATTCCTTAGAAGCTAATTAGCTTCATTCTCAGCGACTGCAGTAGCGCTATATTGTTGTATTTACCACTCCTAGTGCTAGTCTCCTAGCACTAGGATGGGTAGATGCGGAGAACAATCTTCACTGTGTGTGCTGTGTGCTCCGCATGTGTGGCCATTCACCGGCCACGGTTACTTTGCCATAGTTACTACGTAGTAGCTACGGTTCTAAGCCGTTTAAGTATTGGCCATAGTTACTACTGTAACTACGGGTCTACGCCTTGTAAATACTGGCCATAGTTACTACTGTAACTACGGTTCTAAGCCGCGTAAGTACTGGCCATAGTTACTACTGTAACTACGGTTCTAAGCCGCGTAGGTACTGGCCATGGTTACTACTGTAACTACGGTTCTACGCCGCGTAAATACTGGCCATAGTTACTACTGTAACTACGGGTCTAAGCTGTGTAAGTACTGGCCATAGTTACTACTGTAACTACGGTTCTAAGCCGTGCAAGTACTGTCCATAGTTACTACTGTAACTACGGTTCTAGGCCGTGTAGGCTGGCCATGGTTACTACTGTAACTACAGCTCTGTGCTGTTCTCTTCTTTGGAAGCTAGTTATCTGGTCTTAAACATTGTGTTTTTTGACTTGATTTCGCTTGATTGTTAGCAGCAGCCGCTTGACTAACACCTTGCATGGACCGTTTAGCTTCATTATTTAACTCAGCTGGTGAAGGCAGTGCTCTCGCTCCCGCTCCCGGTAACGTTGCCCTGTAACGTATCACTCTGGCTATTAGCAGCGGCCACTTGGCTAACATCTGGCGTGTTCGGCGTGCTGCTTGATTCTTAGCAGCAGCTGCCTGGCTAAGCTGCCCTGTTAAGCTTCTTCGTTTAATCTAGCCAGGTGTAGGCAGTGCTCTCGCTCCCGCTCCCTCTGCTAGTAGCGTGGGTGTAGGTCATTCATCCCCCTCTGTGTTCGGCGAGTAGGAGCAGTGCTCTACTCTTTCCGTTCAGCAGGTAGCCGGTGAAGGCTGTGTTACCGCTCCCGGTTACGCTGCAACTGGCATTTGTCTCTGACTCAACCAGTGAAGGCAGTGTTCTCGCCCCCGCTCCTGGTAGACGTGTACTTTATTCTAGCAGCAGCCGCCCGGCTAAGCTGTCCTGTTGAACTTCTTTATTTAATCCAGCTAGGTGAAGGCAGTGCTCTCGCTCCCGCTCCCTCTGCTGGTAGCTCCGTGCTTCGTTTACTCGGCTAGGTGAAGGCAATGCTCTCGCTCCCCGCTCCCTCTGCTAGTAGCCTTGCACTTTCATTTACTCAGCTAGGTGAAGGCAGTGCTCTCGCTCCCCGCTCCCTCTGCTAGTAACGTGGGTGTAGGACATTACACCCCTCTCGTGTTCGGCGAGTAGGAGCATGGCTCTACTCTTTCCGTCAGCAGGTAACTGGTGAAGGCTGTGGTTCTCGCACCCCGCTCCCGGTTACGCTGCATCTGGCATTCGTCTCAAACTTAACCAGTGAAGGCAGTGCTCTCGCCCCCGCTCCTGGTAGACGCTAAAACTGCCTTGTTCGTTAATCCAGCTAGGTGAAGGCAGTGCTCTCGCTCCCGCTCCCTCTGCCGGTAACGTGGGTGTAGTTACATCCCTCTTGTATTCGGCAAGTAGGAGCATTGCTCTACTCTTTCGGTTCAGCAGGTAGCTGGTGAAGGCGGTGTTCCCGCACCCGCTCCCGGTTACGCTGCATCCGGCATTCGTCTCGAACTTAACCAGTGAAGGCAGTGTTCTCGCCCCCGCTCCTGGTAGACGCTAGACTGCCTTGTTTATTAATCCAGCTAGGCGAAGGCAGCGCTCTCGCTCCCGCTCCCTCTGCCGGTAACGTGGGTGTAATTACATCCCTCTTTCTGTTTGGCGAGTAGCAGCACCGCTCTACTCTTTCCGTTAAACAGGTAGCTGGTGCAGGCTGTGTTCCCACACCCGCTCCCGGCTACGCTGCATCTGGCTACCCACAGAATGGCTCATTCATGTGGGCTGTCCCCTAAGGTGGATCGGTTAGCTGCCATCATGGAGCAGACAAAGCCGCTCCTGTTGGCCCTTCAGCCAGGGGCCGGTGTGGGGGCTACTAGCTTGCCGCCTGGCCTGCCTTCGGTTGCCACACCTCCGCTTGAGGATGCCATGTCGCTAGCGGCTCCGGCTGAACCTCTTCTTGAAAGGCGGGGGGCGGGGCCCCGCTCACCCCCGAAGAGGCTCCCCACTCCTCTGCTCAGAGCTCTTTGCAGGGCACGGAGGACGGCTCCATGGCGCCCATTATTCGTGCGGCCCTGGTACGCTTGCGGCTTCAGGTTCCGCAGGCCGACCCAGGCTAGCGCCTTCTTCAGGCATAACCCTGCCCCCTTTCATTCCCACTGTTCCTCCTTTAGAGGAGTACCTGAGGGAGCTCCATGCATGCTAGAGACACACCAGGGCCCTCTCCCATTCTGCTGCCATGCAGGATCCGGCGAGGGTGGGGCTGGGTCGCTTGCCATCCATTGAGCCTGCCATCGCCTGCCCGATTCTGGCCCCGGATGCCAGGCGCCCTCGGCCTCAGTGCAGGGTCACAAACGAGCTGCTCTGTAAGGCCTACGACACAGCGGCACGGGAACTCCCTCTCCCACCTGATACTGGCTGTCTCTACCTCTCTGCAGCAGGCTCCGGCTGAGCCTTCTTTGCTGGGCCTCAGTGATGCATCACTGCAAGCCTTTGCCCTAATGCTAGGGAATTGGGACGAGTCATGTCCTTATGGTGCAGACTCGTCGCCAGGTTTGGCCTGCTTAGTCACCACTGTCGGAGACATGTCCTCCGGAGTGTGCCAGTCGAGTCAGGGGAGCTGTTTGGGGCAGCTGCCCTGTAGGCACTGGAGCGTGCTGCCCAAGCTAGGCAGACCAGGCAGCAGCTATCGGGTCTTTTATAGGCCTGTGCCCACTCCCAGCAGGCCCAGGGGCCCCTCTAGCAGCCGCACTCAGCCATCAGCTTACAGTGGTGGTCTGCGCAGGTCCCAGCGGCCCACTCATCCGTTGTGCCCCCGGCTGCCGGCCTTCTAGGCGGCCTCGTGCCTCAGAGCCTTACCGGCCTCCCCCCAGCAGCAGCTCAGCTACTGGGCTGTCTGTACTTCCGGCCCTTGGGTGGTTTTCACCTTAACCCAGGGGTACGAACCGCAGTTCCGGCCCCTAGCCTTCGGCCGGGCCAAAATGGCAGATGCCCTAGCTCTAGCCAAGAGTTGTCCGTCCTTCTGCCCAAGGAGGCAATCGAGCCAGTAGACCCTCTGCTTAGCCCAGGGGGTTCTACTCTGCGTACTTTCTCGTGGCCAAGAAAGTCGGCGGATTTCACCTGCTCTTGGACCTCAGAGGAATCGACAGATTCCTGGAGGTGCTGCCATTCCATATGCTGACCGCAGCACATGCACAGTGGGAGTGGTTCGCAACCGTGGACTTTAGGGAGGCCTACTTCCTCGGCAAGAGGGTGCCTGATATTCAGTTCCTCCGGCCCTTGGGCAGACTGACGGCTGCCTCAGCCGTTGGGCCCTTAGGCCCGCTGTCGTTGTGCCCCATGCAGATGTGGCTGATCAGCCTTCTCTTGGATGCCAAGTGGCACAGGCACAGGAAAGTCAGAGCGTTGCAGCGTTGTCTCCACTCTCTGTCACGCCGGAGGGGCAGGGTCTATCTCCTGATGGGCGTGCCCATGGGCGCCATCCCATCCCGCCAGGAGACCGTCACCATAGGTGCATGTCTCTTATGGTGGGGTGCAGTGCGGCAGGGCAGGACCGCTCAGGGTCAGTGGTCTGCCCAGGAGGGTGCACGCCATGTCAGCGTGCTAGAGCTTCGGGCTGTGCAGCTTGCACTCACGTACTTTCTACCCCAACTGAGGGGCAAGAATATGCATGTTCCTTGGGACAGCAGGTACACTGTTGCCCAGACGGCAGTCCCTTCTAGATAGTGGGCGTTCTCACTCCACTCTGAATTTATGTGGCTGCTATTTCTGCCCGACATGTTCGGGTCGACGGCGCCACGGCGGGGTGCCTCAGGTCGGTGTCCCTCTTCCTGAAGAGGGGCTTTACGGCAGCGTCCCCCTAGCACCCCGAGGGCTCCGGCTTGGGACCTGCCCCTGCTGCCGGATGCCCTATCATCTCCTCCCTTCGAGCCCCTGGCCCAGGTGGGGCTTTGGTGGCTGCCCACGAAGGCAGCATTTCTGCTTGCCATGGCCTCAGGGAGGCAAATTGGGGAGTTACATGTCCTCTCCATAAACGATACATGCCCCAGGTGGGACTCTCAGGTGTTGCCCTTGGCATTCCTGCCCAGGGTGCTTCCACAAACCCACTTCAATCAGCCTGCCCAGCTGGCACGCTTTGACATTCGGGAGAACGGCACGTCGAAGTGGCTGTGCCCTGTGGGTGCCCAAAGGGCGAATATCGAGGCTACTGCCTGTATACGGCAGTCGGAGCAACTCTTGTTTTTGCCATAGCGGCACTAAAGGAGGTGTGCCCTCTACCAGTGGCTGCCCCACTAGGTTGTCGATACCATTTCACATGCCTACGGGGCCAGTGGCCGCCCCTTGCCATCTGGGCTGAGATACCACTCTGCAAGGAGCATCTCAACATCTTGGGCTGCCCTGAGAGGGGCGCCCCTGGATACCATCTGCGCCGCGGCGTCGCGGGCGTCTTCTGGCACATTCTCCAGTTATCGGGTTAATGTCGCCACTCCCCATTCTTTGGGCATGGTCCTTTTGCCAAGCTCCGCTGCTTCCAGTAGTGAGCCAGGGCTGGGATTCTTCATGACATGGTTGGTATAAGTCATCCAGTGCTAAAAGCACCGCCTCTGGCGGTCAGTAGGGACGAAATAGAACGATAGTTACGTCTGTAACTACGGTTCTATGAGTCCCGGATGACCGCCAGAGTTTCCTGTCACTCAGAATTCTTGTGTGCTCGCGAGAAGATTCTGGGAACAGATCCTCTGATGACACTGGCTGATATAGCCGGTGTCACGTGGGTCACAGGTGACTTTGTTGATATTGGTACTCGTACTGCGCATGCGCACGATGGACATATCCAGTGCTAAAAGCACCGCCTCTGGCGGTCATCCGGGACTCATAGAACCGTAGTTACAGACGTAACTATCGTTTCTCATACAGCATCTCTGTAAACTATGTGTATTCACTGAATTTCACTCTCTGCCTTTAACGGCTCGTTGTAGCTCCAAAAGCTCCAGCCCCCACCCTCCCTGTGAGCACAGTGTGCTCTGATTGGTCGGGACGTTGTGAATCGCGCTGAGCTCCGTGGAGGTGTTGTTTCCTTGTTTAGGATACATAGCGAAACACAGCCAAACTCATCCTGAGCACACACAAACTCACAGCCGAAGTAAAAACAATAAGTGTGGCTTGATATTGAGTAAGAAAAAGGTTGATAAACGCTGTGAGAATGGGTCTGCAGAGAGAATTTGGCCGCGATCCCAACTGTCTGTTATCAGCCTGCAGCCAGGGAGAAGAAATCAGCAGAGTCCGTGGATTGGTCAATTTCGTTCCTGGCCATTCACACGTCACAGTACCCAGGAAGTAAACAATGGACAATGACGTATCTCCAACGAGGCGTTTTGGGGAGGTATTTTCTGTGTTAGAGTTTTACTCGCTATAGGGTGTACTTTGAGGGTTTTGACTCTGCACACCGTTTACATGCATAAAAACCTTCATAACACACAAGGGGACGGGTAATAACCGGAAAAGCATGATACCTCTCCTTTAAGTTTCGTTGCCTTGCTCCGCTCTGGGGGGGGGGAAGAGTGTGTTGGGACGCCACTGATGGTGATGAAAGCTGGTTCGAGGGGCCCCACAGACTCTAGAATCGCCACTGTCGATGGGGATCAAAGCTGTCCGGTCCCACATGCTAAGTGCTAGCCAGAAAGCCGCGGCGTTTAAGTCCCGACTCTCCCGATGGCCAATCCGTGCCTCCCCTGACTGCACGTTGCTGAAACACACCGCTGCAGTGCAGACTCTCTGCACCGAGGAGCAGCGGAGTCCGGGCGATGCTGCTCCTCCAAGGAAGAGCAGAGCCGGCCCGACCCATTAATCGACATAAGCGGCCGCTTAGGGCCCCGCAGCCACTAAGGGCCACCTAGCAAAAAAAGAAAATTAATTTTTTTTTTTTATCTCAGTACACCGTTTTTTATCTCAGTACACCGTTTTTTATCTCAGTACACCGTCGCCGTGATAAGTATGTTTAATGTATAATTAATTTTGTTAATATGCCTAGATTGTCTACTCTCAAAGTCATGTATTATATTATTGAGTCAATCATATAATACATTAACCGTGCTTTGCCTGAACCTCATCATGACACTAGAGAGGACGGCAGGATTGTAATTTCCCGTGTTCAGTGAATGCAACAGAGGCAAGACACCAGACCAACCAGAGAGTTGAATGGAAATAAACATCTGTCTTATTGGCTGACAGGTACCTATCCTGTGAGCTGTGACAATGTTTAAAATAAACTGTCAGTCTCAGACTCAGAGTTTTTGAAGATGGACATAAGAACATTTGTTCTTAAAAAAGACGACCATTCTCAAGTGGTGGCTCACACAACAACCCCAGAGCCACCACTTGAGCCAGGAGAAATTACAGCTACGTTGACGTTACTTTGAATCGTGGGGGTAAGCTAAACCGTTAGCAAGTAGCTATAGCTAGCCAGATATATTAAATAAACACTTTGTCATACAATCTAAATGTAATGTTTTTTAGCGTTACCTGGTGATTTCAAAGAAAGCTCTCTGGGAAATGTTGACTTACTGTTCGACATGAAGCTAGAAGCTACCTTACAGTACACAGTTGATCCTGAGTCCTGTCAGTTAAAGTGTTTCATAGTTAGCTTAGCTAAGCATCAACCTAGCAAGTGAAATATATGGATGTTATGTGACAGTATTTCTGAGAAAAAGTCAGCTGAAATGGTGGCATAGTTGCCACTGCTTTACGTGTCGACAGCATGTTTGAACGTATTTGCAGCAGTAAATGTGGCTGTTTGGCCACTGACGTTGCCATAACAACACCTGATTGTAAATGTGCAACCTCTTTTTGTGACAGATTTTTCCTATTGACAGCTAGTTTCTATGTGAACATTATGAGATGGACAGCCAGAGAGAATAAATGAAAAACAGTTATGAAATACTATATGACAAAACAAGAATACAGTTTAAAAGGGGAGTGATTTGTAAAATATCCATAAAGAAAAATCTGTTTACAGTTCTGTTTCATATGGGTGTTGAGAGATGTATCCATAGATCTGTTAATTTTGCTCTCAAAGTGCACCAGATTGATGCTTTTAACTTCAATATTTAAAAATAAATCTTCCCGGGGGAGCATCCCCGGACCCCCCTAGAGGAGGTGAGGACCCCCCTAGAGGATGTTAGGTCCACGGTGTTTACATGCTTATTTATACAATATGTGTGCTTATGCTAACATCATAAGACAAAAGTTGGTTCTGTGTTGTGTGAAGTGAGAACGCGCTAGAGTGAGGGGGGCCCCCAAGCCAAAGCTCGCTTAGGGCCCCCAAAAGTCTAGGGCCGGCCCTGAGGAAGAGACACACGTTCACTAAGCAAAAAAAACAATATCCGGTCACAGAGATCTGCTATTTTAAAGTAAAGTCAACACATATCGACCCTAAATATAGTCTATATTAAGAACGAGAAAAGTCTTAACATATATCGTTTTTTGTAAACATATGACAAATGTGCGAGGGTGATGACGTCAGAGCATCGTCCTATGTGCTGGGGCTTAGCCCCGGACAGCCCGGCCCAATTTAACCCCTGGGTATTTCTGAGGGAGCTCCTACAGTATATGGCATTACCCCGCTGAAGCTCACCAAAGTTTAATATATTTCATAGTTCAAAGTTTTGTCAATTGTTTTGTTTATTGGTCAAATGGTTTCTGAGGAGTTTTACTGGAATGAAAGAGCACAAAGTGTGTCTACAGAAGCAAAAAAGCAGCATACTGCATTAAACCTGACCTTGACAGAGAGGTTGAAGTTCATGTGGAGAGGAGGCTTCAGTAGTCTGTCTGTTTT